GTCGACCTCGAGCGAGCCTCAGCCCTGTGATTTGGCGGCCCGACGTGCGGGTTTCTGGTTCGAGTTTAGTCTTTCGACCGAATTCCGCATTCAGGGTCCGCTGTCCTGTTTACCATACGGTATGGTCCATACCACCCGGTGTGAGTGGGTTGTTGCCCGTTGGTAACATTTGCGGTGGGTTTCAATGAGACACCAAGCGAACAGTTCTGCACGCAAGCGTCGACAGACGCCATGGGCACCAGACGAGTCGGGCTAACTAATATCTCTTCCTTCGAGTCAATGAAACTCTTCAACACCTTCGTATCGGTCACCAGTGTTCTACCGCTCATTGTCGAGGCCAACAAGAACACTCTTTTCGGGTACTTAATGTGCGAGCAAAACCCTGAAGAGGGCGATTTCGTCAAGAGACAATTTGAGGACGAGATCCTGTGTTGGAGTAAAACAACTGAACTCGGTCGACAGGTGATTTCGAAAGTCACCATGTTTATAGCCTAATTTGTATCTCATTCAGATGCACCTCCTCTATGGCTTCGAGTCTATGATTCAAGAGCGTCCCTCTATAGAATCTCACGCTGTTCAAAGGGTCAAAGGCAGTTTTATGCATACAACCCGACCCAGCACCTTTACCCTTAAGAACAGTTTTACTTATCGTGAACACCTTTGGCCCACCGGACCCCACACGCTCACGTAGAATAGAGAGAGGGATTTATTGAAGGTCGTTCTAGTTGACGAAAATCCACCATCTGAACTAAGCCTTGATCTCACTCGAGTTCAACCACTTTTGCCTGGAGACAAGTCGGTTCGGAATGTATCGTTATATGGTGGTACTGATAAAACAATTAAAGTTCTACTGAGAGACCCACGTGAAGGAGATAAGAAGGTCTTCCTCTTGGCTAGAGAAAGATCACATGGTTCGACACACCATGTAGAACTGGAGGTTGATGGTTATCTATTGACCAGCCCTGTTGGCAACTTTAAAGGAACCTTCTACATCTTGAGAATTGAAGAGAGGGAATACTGTATGTTATCCTACTGGCACAGTTTTCGGATAGAGGCGAGAAGCGTATTAAACTATTGAATGCAATAGACATAATGTAATCTATATATTCATGTGATGATGTTATTGAGTATGTTCAAGTAGTCTTCATTCATATATTCCATGTGAATTCCCTGTGATGTGATATTGCTGAAGATGTTCTTGTGTCGGCAAGTGGAAGTCAACTCAACCTCTGTCGTACCTTCCATACGAGAACATAAGATGCTCAACTCAACAACTTTCACGCTAAATACTTCAGGTATTCATGGAACTGGTTTCCCCAAGGATGTCGTAAACAACACAAATTGTTCACATAGGGGTGTATCTCAGACTTATAGTGCCGACATATCTTTCACCTCAATCTACCCCGACGTGAAAATTCACGTGAAGTGCATGCGGTTCTTTTATACAGGTATGTACTGTAGTGATTTCTCATCGAACTCAACAAATATTTGTATGTATTTGGTGTGTATTGAAGTTCTTATGAGCTTGCTGGATACAGATATGGCCAGCACGAGATACCATCAGCGCCTGCGGTGAGCGTCAAAATGATGGTCACGATATCGCTAACCTTCAAGACCCAACAAGTGTCATCAGGCTTCGCCCATACCTGGCTTTCAGAGTCGAGAGTTCAATTAACTAGCGTCTACTGGGGATGAACAGCATGGTGAGGTAGGTCCTGATCTTATACTCTCAATTTGAGGATGAAAATTGGGTCAATCAAGATGGAATTGGGGTGTTGTGGTTGCAAAAAGGGGAGAAGCTCAACTACGTTGGTTGTGGCACATTGTCAATACCTCTTTCATGATGGGTAGGTTGCCCAAGGAGTGGAAAAGAGCTGAAATTGAAGGCATTCCAAAAAAGGCGGGTATGTGTGTTGAGGCGGCAGATTTTAGACCTATATCATTGACATGAGTGCGCTGCAAAGCTGCTGAGCGGACTCTTCAAGCTAGACTCACCTTTCGTTCAGAAAACGCGAACCGTCCTATCCTTGGTAGTCAAGCGGCATACGGGCCGTGTCACATCACTGAAGATCTACTCATCATGAGTAACTCATGAGAGGCCTTCATTTTGTTCATGAAGGTTATCAAGACTCTGCATGTAAAGCGATTGTTGGAGTAGCAGTTGATATGTCCAAGGCCTTTGACACTGCCTGGGTTCAGACATTGACGCTGATACTTGGAGGGGTTGGTAAACGAGGCAGGCTCTTGGTATGGTTGAATGACTTCTTGAAACATAGGAAGTTTCGTGTACGGTGTGGGAATTCTGTGAGCGAGACTATGCGGCCGAACTGTGGTACACCTCAAGGAAGTGTGGTTTCACCATGGTTATTTGCTGTGTTGGTCTCTCAGCTCCAAGATATTCTGGGTGAGAACTGTCTACAATTTGCGGATGATATCTTGCTGTTAGTTAAATCTGAATCAAGAACCAGAGCAGAGAGCCTGATGCAGACAGCTTTGAATCCTCTGCCAAGCTGAGCAGACGGTTTAAAGCTTACTATTAACGCCCTTGAGGCCCAGTGTATCGCTTTCACACTCGGAAGTGCCAAGTCCTTACCGAAGTTGCCTTTGTATGGTCAGCAGCAGAAAGCACACCGACGCTAAAGTATGTAGGTAAAATCTTAGATCCAGGCCTGAGCTGTCGGGCAAACGTTGATGCCCTGTTGTGTAATCTTGAGGCTAGGTTGAGTCTCGTGCATGCGGTCGCAGGGGCGAACTTTGGTTACTCGGCCGCTGTGTTTAGGTCTACGTACCAAGCAGTAGCGGAGTCTAGGATGAGATATGCGTTATGCACTCGAGTTGCTGCTAGCGTGAGAGTGCTAGCTAAATTGCAGATTACACAGAATGCTGGTGCGAGACTCATTATTGGGTTGCCGAAACAAACTTCTGCTGACTTGGTTCTGCGCGAGTCTGGACTGGAGCCAATCAACTATCTCCTGGATCTGGCCATTATAGGGTGGACTCTCCGGGCTCAGTCCTTGTTTTACACTCATGTAGCACAGTTGACCTTGGATGATTGGACGGGTTTGCGAAAATTGAAGGGAAGAGCCCCACTGCACAGATTCGATGATGTGATGGACGAACTATCAGGTCTACTACCAGATGCTCTTCCTCAATGTTCAACTACTAGAGTAGAGACCCCATAGATAGGTACTGTGCTGTTTTCGACTCGGTTCGGTTAGACATCGGTCAAGGCGTTATGAAGAAAGATGGCACTGAAAAGGAGTTCAAGAGATGTGCTGAGAACATGCTCTCTGAATTTGGAGATGGGATCCTGACAGTTTTCTCTGATGGATCAAAGGCTGATGGTAGAGTAGGATGTGGCTATAGATGTGTGCTTGATGGGTACGTTCTATGTGAGAAGGTAGTGCCGCTCAGTCCCTATGGTTCGATCTACTATGCTGAGTTGGCTGATGTCTTCCATGCTCTACGGTGGTTACTGAGTATGGATGGTAGACTGGTGAGTAATGGTACCTGTTTTTGCTTGGATAATCAGTCGGTGGTC